AGATCCTACCAAGACACCAAGAATCCATGGGGCAATAATACCACATGGATATGTTAGCGTCTCAGTGGATAGAGTTAACAAAGGTTTTAGTGATCTGGCTCTTGACATTCCAGGAGATGATGGGGAGAAGACTCTAGGAGAAGCAGAGAAGACATTCATACTATGGCGCAAGCGCTACATCATTATTCCCGGGGTCTCTAGTCCACCGCCGCTTCCTCAACTGCCAGACAATAGGTGCGGACAAAAGTGAACGAAACAATTTTTTCACTAATTTTCTATTGACATGCATGATTAATAATAACAATATTTCTTATACCTAATTATTCTTTTTTGTACTCAAACAGTAGGGCCTCCACCAACCTAAGTCCAATTATTCAATCTCCAGATCATCATAGTGCTCCGGACAATGATTATACAACGCCGCCACCACCGCCACCTCCAAGGAGGTCTCCAACGCCTCCAAGGAGGTCTCCAACGCCTCCAAGGAGGTCTCCAACGGCTACCCCGCCTCCCTTGATGATCAAGAAGCAGCTAGCTCCTAAGAGGTCCGCCCCACAAACAAAATCGTTGGCCCACCAGCCGACAAAGAAGAAAACCTCCTCTAATCCAGTTATTCCCCAAAAACTGTCTTACGAAAAAAGTGAAAAGAAATTAAAGGATGCAGTATAAAAAGATGTGAAAAGTTTATTCGAAAAAGTAAGAAAGCAACGAGAAGCGAGGGAGAACCCGGAGAAACCGTACTTCTACCTAGCTCCAGATCTTCTAAGAAAGAAGGTGGACCAGAAAAAGCGGGAATCTCAAAAGACCCGGCCAAAATCGGACTACAACCGCTCTCTCACCAAGTCATTTGAGGCGGCACAGAAAAAGACTAGAGCAGGGAAAGGTGTTGCACAACTTGGACAACAATCGCAACAATCAGTCCTCCCTCTTGTCATTCGTAATGAATATGGCTCAAACTTAGACTTACCGGACGTCAATTTTGAGGACCTAGTTTGGTTTTACGAGGATACTGGTTTGGACCTTGCCTAAGTGCTCGCTGAAGGACCATCTGCTCCGAAAGTGGATCCTTAGAAGAAATTTGAATATGGAAAGAGTCTATACAACCCTGAGGCCTTAGGTGAACTGGGTACGCAAATGTATCGGCTAAACAAGTGGTACATGGCGGCGTGTGAACGGGGAGAGAACTTTGTTTCTGTCAGAGTTAGAAACAAACATTACTTCCGTGGCGATGACGTTATATATGTCGAGTTTTTATAATTACACCAACTATACCACCTGGACTCTCTCGACAAAAGTCTCATTAGCTGCTATTGTCTGTAAGTGTGATTATTTTCTACTATTAAAGTGTATATATATAAAGCTACATGTATATATATAAATTATATATCCTCATACTATATTTTTATATATGCAGATACGAGATGACAGAACTCAGAAAGAGAAAGGATAATGATGTTGATTTCGTTGATCCAAATGTCGTATTCAAACACCCTGATCCCCCGCCTCAATAGAAAGCTGAACTCGAGAAAAATCTCATGAGGTTCTTAGTGAACCAACAAAACAAGGACATACTCTTCCCCTACAACTTCAAGTGAGTGTTAAATAATTAATGTCGATCATATGGACATTTGTTCAATTATTTTCTTACTAGCTAAGCTATCTCCCATATATATATGTTGACTCTAGTTAATGTCGATCATATTTGTGTATAAAAACATATGCAACAATCACTGGATATTGATGGTCATCGATATGGCCAATAGTCGGTTGAGCATCTTAGACTCATTAAGAAAAGAGCAAACAGAGTATCAAGACATGATAGATATTATCCAAGGGTAATTTGGTCTCTCTAGCAACTATATATACCCCGATCTCTTAACTGCAACAATTATTAAAGGCCAAATTAATTTTTTATTTTATTGGACGCAGTGTTTGGAAAAGTTTCATTGAGGAATACCACATGAAACATTGCAAAGCGTCCCTGGATGTAATCGCACACAAAGTAAGTACTAGCTACATATATATATATAATTCAATTAACACCAAGCATGCTTTCAATTCACCGGATCTTTTTTCTCGTAAAAGTGGGTTCTAAGGCAAGAACAGGGGAACAACTACTGCGGATACTATGTTTGCGAGTTCATCATGGCGTACTAAAAAAGAACTCCTGAAGAGAACCTCAAAGTACGTTATATAAATATATTCATATATTCACAATTTCTTTTATTGCTCATATATATAAGTAATCACATGACCATCACACACATATATATATATTAATACTTTTCCTTTAACTTTTATTGAAGACTCTATGGTTGAAGGAAAAAGTCATACGACGTGACCAACTGAAAGCAATTCAAGAGACCATAGCAGGATTTCTTAATGACCAGGTCCTAAACCCCGCCGGCGAGTTCTACAATGACGTAAACGAAATATGGAAGCCAAACTAGATGGAGTGAATTTGTTATCCCATGAATATGATAGAATATACAATGCAAGCTTTATTTGTAATATATATATATATATATATATATATATATACATACATATTATATGTACATAAAATAACGTACAATATATATATATATATGCATGGAATATATACGTTTAGTTTCATGCTTTAGTTTGTACAAAATGTTCGAACATTATAAACATATAGAATACGTATATTATTAGCAGCGTAGAATACGTATTGGAAAACCTATTTGAAAACCAAAACGAACCATTAATTGAAAATAGAAACAAAAAAAAGAAAAAAAACATTTAATCCCGGTTGGTAATACTAACCGGGACTAAAGGGCCGACCCACGTGGTCAGGCCGGGAGGCCTCTTTAGCCCCGGTTGGTATTACCAACCGGGACTAAAGGTGAATCTTTAGTTTCGGGCGCGAAATCGGGATTAAAGGAGGGGGCCCTTTAGTTCCGGATTCGTGCTCTCGGTTTTAAAACCGGGACTGAAGGGAGTTGAGAACCGAGAGTACAGCTAGTTTCTCTACTGGTGCGTGGTTGACAGAAGACCCTTTTATAAAGATAATAATGTAATTTCGCTGCTGTATTGATCTGCTCACACTTAACCTAAACGTGCAAATATTGTGGGATGGAGGTAAACCTGTCGTTGGGGAGGGTATGAGCATACCCGGCTATATCCACATCCAAATCCATTTCTGAGATATCCATTCTTTACCTTCCCCATAATTCCCCATACCCAACGGGTAAACTGATTCACGTGCTTGCTTGCTTGTACGAGCCGCTCCTCGTCTGCCTGATTCTGGCTGCCGTCTTCCTTTGCCACTCCGTCCCCAGTGCAGTTCGCTAGGATCCTAGTGCACGTACGCTCTTATCTTGCAGGCGCAGTCCGTGGTCATGCCGTGGCCGCGGCACCGTGCACATTGGCATCATTCATGCGGCCACACATCCAGTGCAACACGTACGCCGCTTGCTGCATGCGTAATCCCTGGTCGAGCGCCACCGCACAGCGTGTCGTCTTCTCGCTCATGCGCAGGCCGCGCACTTCAGCATCACCCATCTTCGTCAATGTCGATGTCCTTGGTCACAGTACCGCCATCGATAGTGACCGCAGTTCCTGCAGCCGCAAGCACACGTGCACAACTGGACATCGCCACAATTGCAGCACGCCTCGAGCTCGTCGGCGCCACCGCCGCCGCCGCCAGCAAGCGCAGCTCCCGCGGCCGCAGCCGGACATAGCCACACCTACAGCAGGCCTCCCTCCTCGCAGGCTTGTGCTTTCTGTGATACAGTAGAAACAGCCATGGACCAAGGGTGCAAGGTGGAAGACGATACAGCCTTACGGGTAGCAACGGGGATACCCGTACCCTACCAATATCCAACGGGTAATAGGTCAGTTACCCATACCCGACCCGAACCCGTACCCTACCTAAATCCAACGGGTAATAGGTCAGTTACCCATACCCGACCCGAAGCACATGGGTGTGGATTTGGGTAACGGATTTAGGCTCCGTTCGTTTCGGTGAAAAAATAAGCCGAAACACTGTTCCGGCTGATTTATTGTGAGAGAAAAATACTATTCCGTCTGAAAAAAAACGAGCTGAAAAGTACGGATTATAAGAGAAGCAAATAGAACATTAAAATATCCAACGACAGGTATAGACGGAGGGAGTACAAAAGTTGCACCAATTAATAAAAATTTGAATTATTGTTAAGATGATGTTGAGAGCAATTGACAACATAAGAGAAAAAGAACTATTGTTAAGATCTCATTGTAAAGCACCCATTTACATTGGTCGGCTAAGAGAGTATCAAATGCTCTCTCCATCCCATAAAGGGAAATACTATAGAATTTTTATGACGCATCAGTGATAAAGAAAAATGACAACTATCTATTAAAAATACTATCAAATAGTGTGCACAATGCTTTGTGGAACAAATTTGAATTATATAAGATCTTATTACTTTATGGTCCCGTTCGCTGGTCTGAAACTTTGCTGAAACTGGCTGAAAAACACTGTTCCAGCTGAATTATTGTAAGAGAAAAACACTATTTCAGCTGAAAAAAGAAGTCGAACAAGCCAAATATGGGGTAAGCCAAACATGACCTATGTGACAAAGAGAGTATATGACTTGTGAAATATCCATGAGTCGTGCATAGATACTGGATTTTGTTTGTGAAAAAAATGAGAATCCGTTTGCAACGCAAGAGTTTCACAAGAAATGTATAATAATTCCACATAAATTTGTTGAACTCAGAACCATCGCTGCCTGAAAACCATTGGACTCCTTTTCGGGTCGTTTACCTGCCGAGAAGAGTCGGTCAGTACTCAGCCGCCTACCATTTGCAACAGCAGCCAACAGGCGCAACCGGCGTCCACACGTTATTGCAGCCGCAGAAAAAAAAATGGTGTCGCTAGATGTAGACCACAAAATCCTCCGCTAAACGAGGAGGAAAAAGAGGACCGAATAAACAATCCACCGGTCTCCTACCTCCGCGGAAGCACCAGTCCGCAAATCACCCCGCCGATCGCCATGAACCGACAGCAGGCGGAGGAGGGCGCGAGCGCGCGCGTCAAGACGACGCTGGCCGAGGCGGCGTCGCCGCTGTCCGCTCTGGCGGACGACGTGCTGCTACAGATCCTGGGACGGCTGGAGGCGGACCCGCGGGACTGGGCGCGGGCCTCCTGCGCGTCCCCGCGCCTCGCCGCGCTGCTCCGGGCCGCCTGCCTCCCGCCGCGCCTGTCGCGGGCGCTCCCCGCCGAGCTCCTCCCCGCGCCGCCACCGGACGGGGCGCCCGCGGCCTGGGCGGCGCTCCACAAGCTCTCCGTCTGCTGCCCGGGGCTCCTCCGCGCCGGGGTGCTCCTCGAGCCCACCGACGATTTCGGGCTCGAGCTCGACATCGGCCCTGACGTCCCCATCTGCGCTGGCCCCACTGACGCCGCCGCCTCCGTCGACGGGTTCGAGGCCACGGCCACCTCTCGCGACCGCGGGGCCGGGGGCGACGTCGTCGCGGCCAGGGGGAGCGCGCCCGCCGCCGGCGAATCTGCCAACGCCGCTGCGTGGTCGCTCTACGACGATCTGTACCTCGACGCGGCATACGACTGCTCGTCCGAGCCGCAGATCCCGCCTGCCGCTGCGGAACCCGCCTCGCCGCCCCCGCCCGTGGCGGCGATCCGCGACGTGGACGAAGCAACGACCACAAATGCTGCCTCATGCGGCGGCGTCGCCCGGCGCGGCGTGGTGGCCGGGAGCCGACGGCATCCGCGGCGGTGGCTGGGCACCGTGGGCGCGCACCTGGCGTCGGGGTCCTGGACGCTGAGCCGCGAGCAGGGGAACAAGCTCCTCGCCAGCCGCTTCCGCGGCGACCGGCTCTACCTCTGCGACTGGCCCGGGTGCGTGCACGCCGAGGAGCGACGAAAGTACATGGTCTTCCGCGGCGTGTTCCACAACTTCGCCCGGTCCCAGGTGCGGCGCGCGCTCAGGGACACACGCCACCCCACCGTCGCCGTCGAGTGCGCCTTCTGCGGCTGCAAGGAGGCCTGGGACCTCTACTCGGCCTTCTGCCTCCGCGGTTTCTACGGCTACCACGACGACGGCGAGCCCGTCATGCGCGCCTACGTCTGCGAGAACGGCCACGTCGCGGGCGCCTGGACCGAGCGCCCGCTCTACTCCTGATCTTGGAGTGGCCAGGCCATTCCGACTGACATGGTATTGCTTCAAAGACGGGCTGCCATTGCCAGATGCTCCTAGTAGCATATGCCTTCTGCTGTTTCTAGACATAATTATGCGTGTCTGCATATAGCAGTGTGGATTTTCGCAATGTTCTGGATATATGTAGGATGTGTATTCTTTCTTCTTGCTGTTGTTTATGGGGAAGGATATGAGTAGAATAAGAATGCCGATTGATTTGCAGCATAGGCGATAAAAGGTTTGCATAAATTTGTAACCCTCATGCTATGAGAAATTGGAGCTGCTGTTTTATTGCCACACTACAGTTTGTGTTGGGTATTTTTTTTGGTTCTACTGAAGTGAAACGAGCTCTGTATCTGGGGAGTACAGGATTCACAGGGTGCAAACAAATCCTGCTTACTTGTACCAAATACCTTGATATTGCAATTGCAAAACTAAGTTCTCTACTATGCCTTCACTGCTTCAGCATGGCTGCCTCGATTTGTTCAGTCTTACTTGAGCCCATGCATTATTTTCCTCAATTTCGCTAGGATCTATCATCTGTCTTATGTTCAGTTCAGCCTGCATGGCTACATCTACGGGGTAGCCTTTTCTTTGCTTATATATTGTTCTTGCAATCCCTAGTTCTACTTGGCACTTGGCATAGGATTTTTTTATTTCTAACACTTTTTTTAAACTATTTTCAAATTTGACACTGATTTTTTTTTTCAAATCTAACATTTTTGGCCGCGCTGAACGCTGACGTGCCATGCATGGCTGCGCGGCAACGGCGATGACGTGGCACTTCCCTAGGCCCTGGCCGCGGACGTGGCAGGCACTGCCGCGCCGCAGATCTTGGTGCGGAAGTGCCGCGCCACGACCCACGGCGCGGCGAAACCGCGTCTAAGCAATGCGCCCTGGCTAACTCCCTCCCTCTGTCTGTCCCTGCGTCGAGGCTGGACGCCCGCACCCTTTGCCAACACCGTCCCTCGCTCCCAAGTGGCCTCCCGGAGGCCACACCAACGCCGTTTGGCCCCCCCCCTTGGGCGGCCGCCGCCCGCCCTCCCTGGCTGCCTACCTCCCTCCTTCCCCAAGCTTCTCCTCAGCCTCCATCAAGGTATTCATGTTCTTATTTGTTGTTTGAACTGTGGATTCAAAGATTACAATTGGTAGCTAGGGTTTAGAGGAATAGTAGGATTGGTAGCTAGGGATTGGTAATGGAGGATTCCTACTTAGGGTTTGGAGGAAAAGATTAGTTAATTTTCTCTATGTAAAGGCTAATTAGTTAGTTACAACTATTAGTTAGAACTATCGGTGCGTAAGTGTAAGTTATATTTTCTTTGTTTTAATGCAACTGGTTCACCTTTACATTGCTTTAGTACTTTTTTTTGTTTTACATTAATTTGTGATGTTTTGATTAATGTTAAATTACAACCGTTTTATTAGATGGAAGACATGTATCGGGAGCAGTTATGGTGAAAACAGGGTCATCCTAGAGAATTATACCCCGACGCGTCTAGCAAAGATGCCCCGTCCCTCCTGACCTCCCTGTCCCTAACTGTGACTGTGGTCGTCCAGCCGACGTGTTTCAATCGAGACATCGAGACACAGCTGCGCGTTGCTTCTACACATGCAGTCATTTTAATGTAAGTGATTCTTTCCGTATCCTTTTTTTTTCTTTATTTGTGTTACTAGGTTACTAATATTTTGTTGGAATCTTGTTGTATAGGCCTATGAGAGGTGCCTTTTCTTTCAGTGGATCGACGGTCCGGACAAGTTTGACCCAAGGTACCTCTTTTTCAACGATTGGTGGAGAGGGAGACATCCACGTGAGCACTTCGAGCGGTGGGTTCCACCTCCCCCTAACCCCCCGCCAATGACGGCTAAGGAGAAGCACTTAGCCGCAGTTAGACGACTCGAGGAACCTCCTCTGTGCGATTGCAGAGATCGAGCTGTGATAAACCCTGAGAATATGTTAGAGTTTGTGTGTCTAAACAAGCATGAAGTGGATAGTGTATCTGTTGAAATGTTGAGCTATAGGTGTTCATGTACTAATGGCACCTCTTTTAGGTGTTTGCATTTGCGAAGTGTCGTTTTAAAGAGTGGCTCTATGGTCCTAAGAATCAATGGTCGGAGCTGCCAAAGGAAAAAGAAAAGGAAAAGAAGAAAGAAAGGGTATTTTCAAAGCACCACTTGTCATGTGCGAAGGTGGTGTTAAATCCAACTACGGCCTAGTCCCTTCGGAGCTTGAAATAGGCCATTATTGCGGCCATATGGTTGACTATGACGAGGTTGGTTATTATTGTGGAAAACTTAAAAATCGTATTTTTTTTTCTTTTGCTAAGACTTATGATCTAATTTTTTGTTTGAACAGAGCACTAGGAAATGCAATTGGGAATCTTATGATGGTTAAGCTAGGTTCTTGGATGAGTTGAAGGGGAGGCAAGTAATTGCACGGAAGATGGGATATGGACCTGACTACGTCGACCTGTTTGTTAAACAACGGAAGAAGGACATGCGTGAGTTTGCTAGACAGAGCGGTACTTGTAACCCGATCGGTGTCAGGCTTGACAAATGGGGGTTGGAGAGACGGAGGGCGTTAGAGGAGGAGAGGGCAAGGAAGGCTGCAATGGAGGAGGAAAGAGTAAAGATGCAGGTCTTAAACGACCATGTTGCTGCATTGTGTGCAAGTGAGTCGTTAGAAGCCTTGTTATTTTCGTTGCCTGCTTTTAAATGTAATATAATTGCGTTGCTAACTTGTTGCATTTTATACATGAAGGGATTGGATGCAGCGGGGAGCATGCCGCAGAGGTGGCCCGTGCAAGGTATGTGGAAAAGAAGTTACATGAGCACATAATGCGAGCTGGTCGCAGCATTCTATCTCCAATTGTGTTGGACAATGAGGGGTACGAGGATAAGGACGACACTACCAGGTTGAGCGATCTCATCGCTCTTGCGGAGGCGGGCTTGCAGATGGAGAAGGATGAGGATGACACTGGCAGACTGAGTGAGCTCATCACTCTAGCAGAGGCGGACTTGCAGGCAGAGGAGGATGAGGACGCGTTCTTCTCAAGTCGTAGAGGCCACAGATGAAGCGGAGGCCACTTACTACATGCGATAGGCAGATCAGGCCAATGCAGGTGAGCCTAGCCACATGAACAAGACGGAGGAGAACGTGTTCTTGTCTCAGGCCATAGATGAAGCGGAGGCCGCTTACTACAGGCGACAGGCAGATCAGGGCAATGCAGGTGAGCCTAGCCACAACAACGAGGTTGTGGTAGAGGATTGGTACTCGGACAATGAGTTGCTTACTCAGTATGTTTTTGACTGAGTATTTGTGATTACGCCGTGTGGTAGTTCCATGCTTCAGATTTGTTAGTTCCATGCTTTATTAATGAACAATGTTGTTATGTACTAGAACTTTCATTGTGTTGTCTTGTGTTACATTTGAACTATTGATGTATTTGAACTTTCAATGCATAGCCTAAGTGCTTTCGAAGTGGTCAAGAAGAAGAATCTTTCATTTGAATATTGATGTATTGTACCCATGTATCAAACATTGTTTCCATGTACTCGGAGTACCCATGTTCGATCGTAAGGAAGTATCTTCATCCCATCCGTTTGTCACCCTCCGATCCATCCAACTATAACCCAAGTTTTTTTAATAATAACGTATATGAGTACCTTAGATGTGGGTGGAGAGGTTATTTAATTTTTATTTCTATAACGGCATGAAACTTATCTAATCCAATATTGCTTGCAAGACGTGTGAGAAACTCACTTGGATCATCACCATATAAGCCATTTCCTGCGCTTAGTCTGCCCAGCTTCTGTCGCGCCACCACCAGAGGCGCGGCAAGCCTGACGCGCCAGGGGCAATGGCGTGGCAGCCTGACGCACCAGGGCAATGGCGTGGCAAGCCTTGGACGCTGTTTCAAGCAGAACAAAGCTGAGCAGCAGCCTCCACGACGCGTCAATACCACCACTGATGCAGGCTGGACGCACAAGATAACAAATTGCACAAATTGAACAAAGTCGATCAAGTGCACAAAGTTAACAGATTGCTACACAAGACTTCATTCGTTTGATATAAGTTCAACACGACTAGTTGCTACATAAGACTTGAAGTAAATTAAGTTCATGACAACATAAGTTCGACAATACATGATTCATACAACACGAAGCAAATAAGTCGATTAAGAGTACAAGTTGGTACAGAGGTCTTGAACCACAAGTGCACAAGTTGATGGACGTCTTCCTGACATGATCCTTCACAATCTTCAGCATTTGAAGGCATTGTTGAATGTGTACCTACATTATCGTCACAACAATTAGTAAGAAGGCAATACATCAAGTTTTGCAATTGAGGAAACTTGAAAAAAAAACATGGACTATGCTTACCTAGACCCTACGTCCTAGGAGTGTAAGGGTCCCTCGAACGCCTCTGTCTCTTCATATTTGTAGGCAATACATTAGGAGTGTACCCAACATCGGTGCGGTCGTGATGGCGGGGCTGACGGCCATACTGTTGCGTATGGCTCATACCCTATAAGTATAAGTAGGCAAGATTAGTTACAATGTTTATCATTGCTAGTTCATACAAGCTAGGTATTTAAAAAAGTAGGTTTGTTAGTATCTGTTCGTCTCCTTGGGTACCAAGCGGGGCACCACCTAGTTGAAACATGCCAATCTCATCTTGCTGCCAAGGGTCCCACTGGTGGTGGTGTATGTGGAAGCCCAGGTCATCGTCATTGTCCTCGTCGCCCTCGTCTGCAGGGCCCTTCCCAGTGCTATAGTATGGTGGTGTACACACAGTGGAAGTCGCACCTATCACTGGCTCAGAAGAGCCAACTGGTGTCCTCAAAGAGGCCGAAGCCATGTGACCTGACTGCGCCGGGTACTCAGGTTCCTCCCACGGAGTGTCCATGCAGCTCAACTTCTAAGCTAGCTTTTTGCAGCTCTTCTTCACTTTCTGCATGAACAGACGTTAAAGATAATGCAGTGTG